ATCCCTAGAAACCCAAAGTAAGTTCAGGGGTCTTAGGTGATCCAATGTGTCATTTTCCAGCTGGTGACTGTGAACTTCAGAAAGAGGACTCATGGCTACTATGCCACTTTCACAAGACTCTGTCCAGTACAGAACCTGTTTAAATTTTAAGTCATTTATAAGTCTCCATTTGCTCAACTACCACTTGTCACATGCCCAGTGAGTCTATGACACTCTGCTGGGCTATATGGTGGGGCTATCGAAGACACAGGCTCTGCCTCGAGGGACCCACGATAGCCACAAGCCACCATGTGTCACCATCACAGGGGACAACTCCCAGGAAGTGAGTCAATGAACAAAGCTACCAGGAAGGTGGTACGAGCGTCCAGGGATGGAGTGAGGAGAGGTTAGGCAGCGCAAGTTTAGCCTTTGCCCCACGGTCATCATTTATTCAGAAGCCTCACCTGCCTTTGTCCAATTTGTCAAGGATCATTCTTTTTCCTAACCCTCCTGCTCAACTGGTGCTCTGAATCTCTAAGACTTTAATTCTTTGTTCAGAAAGATGCGAAATAGCCCATTTCTCCGGGTTACTTTTTCTGTCCCACCAAGGCCACAAATCTGTATCAACTGTAGTAAGAAAGAGGGAAATTCCAGATGTGGTGAGCTGGAGGAATCTCAGGGTACTTCATTTATGAATATTTAGATAGTGTCTCTCTTGTTATGAAAGTCCTGGCAATCTGTTCCCCAGCATGCATTTCAGATGAGTTTCAATATCATGAAAGCTTTACTGGGGGGAGGGGAGGTGATGTTAGTTGTTTAAATCCTAATCAGCTGAGTTTCACTTTCCCCCAGAAAATACCAATCCACATGAACATTTTTTGAATCATCATAACTCTTAATCCTCACGGGAGCTTGTATGTTAGCCTGCCGAGGACAGAGATGTGAGGAAGGGGCTTCTCTCCTCTCTACTGCTGGGCGGTTTTTGTTACAGATCTGTCCACTGACCAGAAAGGAGGGCCGCCCCACTCTCAAGCTCAGGGAACACAGGAGTCACATCACAATCTGAAAGCGATGCAAGGGGCTTTTTGGTGGACTTAGGTGCCTCGTGGAGATCCTGGGAGAACGTGCCCTTTACAGTGAAGCCAGAAAGCAGGTGGGGGAAATTAGCTGCAGAAATTCTTTCTTTGGCCCATGAAAAACATCTGTCAATAAACATCCTTCAAGCCTTCACTGACACTGAGAATTCTCCTTCTGACCTCCTGCACACTTACATGCATACTTACACCTATACCCGATGACCTCTCACATTCCTACTAAACTGTCCCCATCTTCTTTTTGTCTCTCCCCTCTGGCTGCTCAGTTCTTTGAATGCAGAAATGTTTTACTCTGAATCGTTGAGCTTTTGGAACCGAATCAGAGGATGAAGATGCTGGGAGAGACCACAGGGGTTGTCTCTAGAGCAACCCTCAGACTTCACAGGCAATGCAGACAATGAAGAGCAAGGCAGAGAAATAAAATTATTCATCCAAGGTCACACGGCTAGCGAATAACAAGCTGGTCCTAGAATGCACACCTCCGACTTTGGGCAAAAACACACCACCCAGTCTCTGTTAACAACACTCTTTGTTAACAACCCATCCCGGGGTGCCTGGGTGGCTCAGTTGGGTGTCCGACTTCGGCTCAGGTCATGATCTCACAGTTTGTGAGTTCGAGCCCCGCGTCGGGCTCTGTGCTGACAGCTCAGAGCCTGGAGCCTGCTTTGGATTCTGTGTCTCCCCCTCTCTCTGTCCCTCCCCTGCTCATGCTCTGTCTCTATCTTTCAATAATGAATAAATGTTAATTAAAAAAAAAAAACCATCCCCACACCGTGATGCTTCCAGAGAGCCAGGTGGATGGACATAATTAATAGATACTTATAGGACAGAACAAGGCTTGGGCTAGAGCCTAGATCCTCCCACATGCTTGAAGGAGCTGAGTATTCGGATCTGTGTTAATACCCAGGCCCAGAAAGCCCATCTTAGATCCCAGAATTACTCTCAAACGGCCATGTCCAATATTGTGGCCACTAGGCACACGTAGCTATTGAGCACTTGATTTGTGGCTGCTCCGAGTTGAGCTGTGCCGTGCATGTAAAAGACACACTGGACTGTGAAGACTCATATAGATAAAGAATAAAAATATCTCATTTGATAATTTTATACAGGTTACATGTTAAAGAGATACTATTGGGGATACACTGAGTGAAATAAAATACATTTACATATTTAATTTAGTAAGGTCACTTGTTTCTTCTTTCTTTTTTAAAAATGTGGCTGCTAGAAATTGTAAAATCACGTATGTGACTCACATAATATTTCCATTAGCCAGCTCTAAAACACAGCTACCCTCCCCACCCCTGCCCAGCTAATCTTTCCAAAAAGACTGGAATCTCCTGCCTGTAGACATGGCAGAGGGTGAAAAGAAAGCATCAGGAACAGGATCTTATCCGAGGGCTAGTTCTGAACACCTGAGGATTAGTCACTGCAGCACGCCCGGCAGACTGTCCAATGTGCCACATCCTTACAAGTGACCCTCGGGTCCCTGCTGCTCAGAATCCTCCCAAGAGCAACCTACAAAGTCACCCAAGGAGGACCAAGGTCCTTTTTATTCTGGACAGAGGTGCACCATCTACAGGGAATTCTGACTTTACTTCTATTGAAAGTCTTTCCCTTAAAACAAAACCTCTGTTGCCCAGATTACTACTTCTGCAGACACAAATCAGGTTGGTCAAGACCACTGGTTGTCTCATGTCACGAGGATAGCCTACCCTGGGGACCACATTCCCATCACCTTTGAGGCTTGATGTATCTTCCCCTTTTCCTTCTCCTGCCTATTCCCCATTCTGGTCGTCCAAGCAACATTGCTAATAACAGGGATCATTTAGAAACCTGTCAATTGCCGCAACTACAGAATAAGCAGTTGAATGAAGGAAGGACAGGCTACTGTCCAACAAGAGAAATGTTTGCAGAATGGTTTAAATATTCAACTCTTGAAAATTCTTCCCTGCCTAGAGGCACCTGGGTGTCTCAGCTGGCTGAGCATCCAACTTGAGTTTGGCTCAGGTCATGATCCAAGGGCTGTGGGATTGAGCCCTGCCATTGAGCTCTGCAATGAGTTTGGAGCCTGCTTAAGACTCTCTCTCTCTCCCTCTGCCCCTCTCTCCCCTGCTTTTTCTCTGTCTCTAAATTAAATTTAAAAAGAAAGAAAGAAAGAAAGAAAGAAAGAAAGAAAGAAAGAAAGAAAGAAAGAAAGAAAATTCTTTAGTGCCTAAAGGTAGGTTTGGCATAAAAGTGTATAACCTGCATGAATAAATGCAGGGCCAGGTTGTCCTGAGGAATATTGATGAGTTCCAAACAGTGGTTCTGGAAGTGTGGGCCCTAAACCAGGCGCAGCAGCAGCACCTGGGAATTCCTTAGAAAAGCAAAGTTCCAGGTCTCACTGGACTAATGACTCAGAAATTGTGGAGGCGGGGCCCAGCAACCTGGGGGGTGGGGCCCAGCTCTCCAGGTGATTCTGGGGCTCACTCAAGTGTGAGAACCCCTGCATTAGAGTATTAGACAAGTGGGCTTTCTGCCTATGACCAGGAGTCGGACAACAGCATTACCACATGGAAGGCACCAGACCTCATCTGAACCTTCCACACCAAGGCACAGCTACAGCACCTGCATCCGTATCTTCCATGAACTTGTTTATCAAAACCACCATTTCTGGTTTGGCAAATCCCACAAATTCATTTTCCTAAGTCTAAGGCAGTACCCCTCATTTGCTTTTGAATGGTATATTATTTCTCAATTAAAAGGATAAAGCTGTGCTTGCTCTTATATTAATCATAATTATATATGTGTGATTTATGTTCTCTCAATCTTTGGCTTTCCAAACTATATTAGCAGTCTGTCCACATGATGCTCATAAGAAAATCTGAAGCTGGAAAAAAAATAATAAAATCCCTAGAAGGAACTGAAGTAATTGTTTCTGACCAGAGCCTGTCCAGAATGCCCTAGTTACTGAAAGGATAGCTAAAGGGATTGGAGGCTTGCCAGATTAACAACTACAAATTCAGGACGTCCAGGTATATTTGCATTTCAGATAAACAACAAAGAGTACGGGGGACATACTTATAACCCAAAAATTATTCACTGTTTATCTGAAATGCAAATGTACTGGGCATCCTGTATTTTATCTGGCAACCATCTAGAACAGGGGATAGGACCTTTAGGAAGGCGTTAGGGAGACAACTATCCTCAAACACTTAAAGGGCTGTTAGGAGAAAAATGGGCTAATATCATTGTAGACCCAGAGACTAAAATTCGTGGGTAAAAATTCCAGGAAGAGCGTATGTGGCTCAATGGAAGAAAGACATCTGCGTGTAGAGAGATTTTAGTCGAGACGCACTGAGGATGCTGGCTGGCAGGCAGGCAGGCAGGCGGGCAAGGGCTGGGAGTGCTGGCTGAGTGCTGAGGCTAGAACGTAGGGCCTCCCTGACTTAAAGGCCTATGAATCCCCCAACTGCTTGAATTGCCATTCTCTACAGCCTTTCTGCCTCCTGAATGATGCAAAGTGATTGGGTATATATGGATAAGCCCCAGCTCTGATACAGGTGGCAGGAAAGAACCACGTTCCACAAAGAAGAAAACCCCCCAAGAGTGCCAAATCTAACTTGTGCCCACCCACTGGTAGGACCCAGTGGAACACATTTGGGTATATTTTTTCTGATGTATTTTAAAACGCCATTAAGGTGAAGGGGATTAAAGAGTACACTTATCATGATGGGCCCTGAGTCATGTACAGAATTGTTGAGTCGAGATATTGTATACCTGAAACTAATATAACACTGTATGTTAACCATACTGAAATTTAAAAGACTTAATTTAAAAAGTTAAACAGCCATTAGGATTATGTGAGGATTTTTCAAAAGCATGTCCATGACTGAAAAACCCTTAACTGCTTCCAAATGTAAAATATGGATAAACAAGGAAACTCACTCTTTGTCCTGCCGTCCATTTCTGGTTTTGACGAGTCTGGAGTTGCCGTCGTTGGAGGTAACTTCTTTCCAATTGTCTGAGGAGGAAAGACATCATTTTACTTAACTAGATGATTCTCTCCATTAAGCAAAGAAAGAAAATCAAGTTCATGATGACAAAATGTTCACAACTGCTTCTCAAAACCACACCCTCGAGGCGTGGCTGCTCCGAGCAGGGCCTGCCATTCTTTGACAGGTCAGAGCCTCAATAACAAGCATAACAAGCACGTGAGAGAACCAGGGAGGAAGGGTTTCATCCTTGTAGGCGCTCCAAACCTTTTATTCCCATTCTTCCTTGATGCTCTTACTAAAAGGCTGATGATTTTCAGCCAAGTAGACAGATACCTTTCCCCTCACTTGATGAGAAGCTGACTATATCCGTGGAGGCACAGCACCTGGCCCAGAGGAGGCGCTCAAGAGTGTGTGCAGAGTGGAAGAATGATAGTAAGAAGAAAAGGATAAAAAGAAAGACGGGAAGGATAAAGGGAGGGAGGGCCAGAAGGACAAGTGGACAGGCAGGTGGAAGGACAGGCAGAAGCAAGAATGTCCAGGGCAGGTGTGCCTTATCACATGCCCCAGCCGTGGAAAATGCACGGTGCCTCGTGGGGTGGGAGCGAACACACCCACGTCCTCTACCACAGGTCTATCTGCCCTAAAAGTGGAACGAGGGGAGCCCGCAGTGCTCTTCCTTCCAGCCTTTTAACCTTCCAGGGCTTTAAGAAAGGCCTGTGCCACAGACCCTAGGTGTCTATTTACTAGTAAAAAAAAAAAAAAAATGATGAGTTTGTGTGGAGTTCATTTTCTTCCCTTCGTTGCAGGCTAATTCTATTATCATTCATTATTAATAAACCATCCATAGAAAAGACTGATACTGTCATTGACTAAAGATGTTTCTGAAAACACAAGTGACTCAGAGGCTCAAAGGCACCAAAAATGAAAAAACAGACAGTAAACAAAATGCTGCTTCCAAAGGCAAGGTCCCTTCCCACTCTTCTCCTTTGCCACCACATTTGTGTGATAATGATTAATGCCCGAGGAAATGGTCTATTGGTACCTGGGAAATGGCTGTCAACATCAAGTAGCTGGGGCAATTCAACCTCCCCAACAACGAAGGGTTTCCCTAGCGAGAATTCCAGCCACTGGGAAAGCCAAACATAGCTGCACCTTGAACACGTGAACAGGAATGAACTGGCATGGCGGAATGTTTCTTCAAATAAGACTGATTCACCACAGTTTTTAATTTGAAAAAGTCCTTGATGCTTCAAATGTTGAAACTAACATTAAATATGAATAAATCACAGAAAGAGGAAAAGATAAATCAAATCCTCAGCCCTTTATGAATTTTTAAAAACATTTGTGACAGAAAGCTTTTACGTTTTACACGGTGACATTTTTATTTAGTGCCACAGGGCTTTCTAAATTGGATAAAAAATGAAATCCAAAATATTATGCCACCCCTCCACTGCTGCTAAGTACTCAAACTAATACTATTTTGTGATTCCAAGGAAACATCAAGGAGGAAAAAAAGTGTGTTGTTATTCGGCCATAAGGTCAAATTTGATGAGAAACCGTTCTTAGAATTATCTTCAAAAACCAGGAATTGACAGGAAAAGTAGGCACTGTCCAAGTGTCATTCACATTCCTGTTCACACTTCCAACAGCATCGCCATCAATCTCTGTTTTTCCCTTTCGGACCAGACTAAAGTATCACTATCATTAACTCATTAGGAAGAAGAAAAGAAAAACCACTGGCACGCCAGTTTTCACTGACAGTGGAGAGAAGAAATCAGGAATATGCAGAAGGAAACACTAAGCTCAATCCTGACTTGGGTTCCTTTCTGGGAAAAAAAATGAAGCTTCCAGTGGTTTGGGCGTTAAACCAGGTGCCTTCCTTTAGAGACCTTCATAGGTTGTATGCTCGGACAACTCCCCCTTATTTAGTAACAAAAGGAAGCACTGCCCGTGGTCCCTGATGCCCTGGTTTACAGGACAGTGCAAGCTAACAGACATCAAGAAGATCCACCGGTTAAATACACTTACTTCCATACAGAAAAACACGTAAAGAACAGCTTACTTTGTTCTGCTTTCTTGCTATTTCAGAAAATACAGCACGCTGGCCTTTGCATGGATCCCAGCGACAGGGGTGATGGTGTGGCTGAAAATGCACTCACCTTCCAGGGGTGCTGGGCTTATTAGCTCCTCCTTCCTTCCTCTTGGGCCATGATTGGAGGTCAAGAGTAAGTCAAGATCCTCCCCTCTCAGCTTGGTCTCCCAGGCGTCCCAGAAATGGGAAGTATTCAGGAGTTGCTCTCTTCTCTAAGAGCTAGAGAAGTATGGTTCCCAGGCGAGTGGCACGGGTATCACCGGGAACTTGTTAGTAAAGCAAATTCCCGGGCCCCACCCCAGGCTTTCTCAATCAGAAACTCTGGGAATGGTTCCTGGTAGTCTCTGTCTGAACACACCCTCCAGGGGACGCTGATGCACACTCGAGATTGAGAAGCACTGACCCAGAGGTAGGAGGGATTCCATTAGCACTAGCCAAATACCTTTCAAGGATTAACAACTCAGGTGCCTATTCTCATATCTTTATAAATCATAAGCTGTCTTTTTCACTCTTCTTCCTCTTCTCTCTCTCTTTCCAGAAGGCTTTGTTGCCTTCTACCTTCTCTATTCTCAGCTGGCATAACAATTGGTCATTCCTACTAAGTCAGTGCAGAGAGGAATGAGAGTTTAGGAGAGCCAACAGGGTGACAATGTCACTGAGGGGAAAGAATGGGGACATAGGTGGCCATGGGATTCTTCACCAAAGAAGCCCTGAAAGGATGGATGGGACAGATGGACGAATGGACGGAAAGATGGTTTTGTACCAACAACGGAAGACCATACCTAGCCTCATACTACCATGAAGGTCAAGTGGGCAGATCTGCATGAATGTAGTGACCTCCAGAGAGAGCCACGTCCTGCTGCTCCTCCACAGTGTTTCCCTCTATGGGCATGTTAGGTGGGACATCGCTTCATTGTAGGAGACTGTCTCACACTAAAGGACATTAGGTGACCTTTGCTCCTGCCCACTAGTAGCCTGCAGTGCTCCTCCGTCAATACATCCACCCCAAACGCCCTACGCCTTTCTAAACGCCCCCTTTGAGAACCTCTGTCCTCTGCCCTTCCTCTAAATCCAACAACAAAGACAAGGAGTAATGAATTACTGCTTTCCCACCTGGCTTTCAGCTTCCCCTACACCTCTGAAAACATCTTTGGTCCAGTGGGCTAAAAGTGAACAGAACCCGAACTTTCAAAGGGCAATGCCTAGGGGCGCCTGGGTGGCTGAGTCAGTTAAGTGTCCAACTCTAGATTTTGGCTCAGGTCATGATCTCACAGTCCTGAGATCGAGCCCTGAGTTGGGCTCCACACTGAATGTGGAGCCTGCTTGAGATTTTCTCTCTCTCTCTCTCTCTCTCTCTTCCTCCCTCCCCTTCAAAATAAATAAACATTTAAAAAAAACTTTAAAGGGCAATACCTAGCTCCAGTACACACATAGGTCAGATATAATTGAAGGCCAGGCCTAAGGAGACAGAAAAATCAGGGAATCACATCCAGACATCTCTCATCCACTTTAAGGCAGTGACGAAGGACGTTAGGCTTATAGCAGCTGTGGAAGAGGATTCAGCATCTCCATTCCTTGCTTCCTCGGCAGGGTTCCAAGATCTTGCCCTCTGGGTGCCCTAAGAAGACGGCTTATTCAGGACAAGCACCGGCCATACACTTGGGGGCTGTGTGGACTCAGCTCAGGACCCGGCTCTTTCACTCCTAAGAGATGTGCAAACAGGCCCATTTTACCATCTGCCTTGTGAAGGAACAGCTGAGCGCTTCCTCTTCTCCGTGCTGTGGTCTAAAGACCTCTTAGTAGCCACATCTGTGCTACTCTGCTCTGCTTGCCCCCCAGCTCGGAAGCCACTGCTTGGTCTCGGAAGACATGTACATATGGATGGCTGCATAAAGCTGAAAGCTCTACAAATCGACAACTATGGGTTGCCACCGACAATGAGCTACTATTGCTATTGATCTACTTCAACAAACAGTAATCACCAGGCTGCCATCAACTTTTGCCTCTCCTACCACATCCTAATGTCCATTTAAAAAAATGACTTTTAAAAATAAACAATTAAAAAAAGCATTCCTTCGAATATTTAAGACCAGAAGCCTTTCTCCTACTAGCTTTCTCGACAGAACCCTACATAAAGTTTCTGGGCGATTTTGTGTGTAGTAAGTAGGAGCGATCATATATATTCCTAGCTCTACAAGATCTGGTAATACAGCATCAAGAAAGATAACCCCCATATGATGTCAGTTACTGGAGCAAGTAATTTTTTTCCCCTCTTCTGTGCCAAAATGAAGAAACTAACGCTTGTAGGAAAGACAATCCCTGGATGTGAGCCCAGTAGAATCCAGTTCCCTAATGACTAATAGATCTGTTTCTCTTTGTGACCGCTGGAGCGTGAGACCAGGGTCCTGCTCAAACCAAGTCACCCCTGTGACTTCATTCTAATTCAGATGCAAACTCCTTTGAATGTATAACATTTTCTAATTATAGGACAATGCTAAGGAGAAGGAAGTTTAAGTCCCATCTCTGAAAGTCTCCTCTCAGAATACTACGCATAACTCTTAATCACAGAGGCAATCAGGTTCAGTGGGTAGGGAGGAAAGAGAGAGAGAGGGAGCTCTATATTCAATCAGTGAAGTCTCTCTGTTGGTAGACCAGGCTTTCGGATACCTATTCCAGAAGAGGGTGATTTTCTGAGAAGCTATATGTAGACATTACTCAAGTGTTCACATAAAGCCAAACACAAGAGATGACTTTTCAAACAGCTGGTAAAATACAAGATAAAAGATGGTTCTTTCAAGGCATTCCTTTTACTACCTTCGTGTTTAACGCTACTCCCTCCCTTTATGCTCAGCACAGATTTATTAAGTGCCTGCTCAACGTGAGGCAGGGAAGCAGACGAAAAGGCAGGAGGATGTTTCACATTATCACCAACAC